GCTGGCTATTTATTTATTTATTTAAAATATCTGACAGTTTGACACTAATGTATTATTATTTATAGCATTTAGGAGTAGACTACATAAACCGATTGTACACATGTAATTTTATTTAATCGGGGTTAAAGAACATTGGATTGTCTGACAGAGAGTAGCACTGGCTGAACATCCTCAGAAATTCGACACGGTCCTGAGGTCATTAAGCCTCCAATAGTCAAGTCACGCTGGAGAACCAGGGATAATTAAAGCAAAACTACTGTTGCCCCTTTAACAAAACAAAGGCAGTAAATCATTTTCCAAATGCCAGGTTGCCCATCATCACCACGTTTACACCGTGCCCCAAAAACATGCAAAGAATCATCTTGTTACACGAAATAAATAAGAGACTGCTGAATATATCGAAAAGCATGTAAACACATAAAATGTGGGCCATTCAGTTGGACTAAAGCTGCATAAATGTTACCTTGTATAAACATTCCCAGGGAACAGAAGACCCATCCTTCACTCTAAAGGCCTTTCATGCTCAGTCTAATTTAAGAACAGGACAGAACCGGACTCACATAAAAGTAAAGCTGACAGTTACCTTCCTGAATGTCCAGGCACTATGAATGACTTTCCTTGTCAAAGCCATATAGCCAAATGCAGAAAATCTTATCTTTTCTCTATAAAAACAGGTAGCTTCCCTTGGCTTTAGATGCACAGCATCAAAACAAACAACACACACACACACACATATAGGACCAAAACCGCTTTGGGGAGAAATTCTCTAGAGAAATGTGAACGCAGCTACACTGAAAATTATTATTATTTCATACATATAAAAGTCCCGCCGGAGCCAGCTTACCTTAATCTCCCGAACCGTGTTTGTACCCTCAAAAGGTTCTGCCAAGTTATTTATTTTAAGTATGTTAATAAATAATCCGGCCGTCAATTATTTATTACGAATTATTACTGCATAATGATGTGCCAGTACACAGATAAATTATTTTGCCTAAGATGTAATTAGAGCAATATGAAAGTCAATGATACATGATAAATAATACAACCCTATTTTACAAACACTGGAATGTTTAGCTAAATTGGGCATCATTAAGTTCCTCAGAGGTAGGTAATATGGTGTATTCAGTTCAGTTCAGTTCAGTTCAACTTTATTCGTACCCAAAGGTAAATTTGCTCACTAATTACTATTCACATAGTACGTTAAATGAGTATGTGTGTGTGTCCACCCTGAAATGGGTTGGAATCCGATCCAAGACGTCACACTCCTGGTGATAACTGGCACGGGATGTCGACAACCCAGTACTGGATAAGCTGTCATGGATAATGGCTGAATCCATGAATATTTTAATTAGAGCTTTAAGGGAATCTGTGTGCGTAGGGCTTAATTGGATATAAATATTTAATATCAGAATTTAAACAGGGAGAGTAGACCTAGCGTTATAAATGAATGCATTAACTGAGCACCTTTAAACTATTTGATGGCTTTGTTTTGTCGCTGCGTGGGCACATGTGAGTTTGTCAGTGACAGACCGCAGTGTTAGTGCCCGTGGTTTCCCAGGGTCAGACAGGAAGGCTGCGACAACATAACGACAAGAAATAAATGAAATAGACCGTGGGGGAGGTTAACGACCCGATACGAATAGTTCAGGGCCAACAGGACACTCAAAGGATGGCCGGGGGCTCCATCCGGGGCGAACTCGAACACGCCGATATACGGAAATGAGGAGAAAACGGAGAAAGTCAGTATGGATGAAGCCAGACTCCTGAGGCTCCCTCTAGTGGCTGCTTTTGGCCACTACCACACTCTCTATCATCGGAGTGGTTTATATCAGGCGATAAAGTATCTTTAAAGTTTTCCTTAACTGCGTTTACAACAGCTTTGGTGCTAAGGGGTTACCTTTCTTTAGGTTCCCAAACCTGCCTGTTGGTTTTGGTGTTTTTCCCTAAAACTGGGTCCGCTTTTATGTTTTGTTTATCTAGGATATGTGTTTATCTGAAACAATATACATTTCTGAGAAGCGGGCATAGACGGTTCCTGACGGAAATGTGAGTTAACGGTCAGATTGAACTGGCAGCCGTGTGATTAAAGGGTAGCAGCCTAACCCAACCAGCCGCACACTATACATAAAGAAACCCTACTCGTTAAAATGACGTTACTCCATCGTGCAGGTAAAATGAGCGACCTGGTTTGTTACCCTTCCCTCACGCAGAAATCTGTATACAGGTCCACCACAAGGGGGCGGCATAGCGGAGCAGAGTTAGCACCCCTGAGTCTCCACCGTGGCTGTATGTGCGTTGAGTTTGCACCTTCTCCCCGTGCCCTCCTGGGGCTTCCTCTGGGTTTTCCAGATTCCCCCCACAATCCAGAAACATGCTGAGATTAATTTGAGTCATCGACACTGACTATAGGTGCGCATATGTGACCAAATGGTGTGTGAGCGTGTCCTGCGGTGGGTTGGCGCCCCCTCCTGGACTATTCCGGTACTTGATGGATTATGGATAGGTCAAGTGGGAATGGAAAATGAATGGATAGTCCTCCATGCTTGGTATTAGACGAATAAAGTGAGGGATGGACAGCAGGGGAAGGACTAATTATCATATCCTTCTCAATACGTCTAAATCATATGTCACAAGCAACACTTTCAATCAAGCGCTGATGGGCGACAGCTGCCTTTGCTGGATTTGTTACTGATTGTGTCTGATTAAATTCTAATCATAATTTACCCAGTTTTCACATTTTTTATCTTGCACCCCTGTTAAAAAATTCTAGACCTTAATATGCCCATTAATATAATTATGCAGTGCAAATTATGGCCAGTAATTATTTTATTAAGCAGATTACCGAATAGTTTTCTTGTCATGCAGAATTAAATTGATTGCTGATTTATCCTTATTATGTTAAAATGAATATTTTTGCTATTGCTTAGGTTCACAGATGATGCTAATCAAATTGATGTAACATATTTGAATTTTCGTTCACTCACACAAACACGCCCGTAATACGCTTCCTTAATTATCTGTACTTTCTAATGCCATGATTGCAACGCCTATAACGTAACTTCATATCTGCCAGGTGAGATCCATGAGAATATGGGGACGATATACAAGCTCAATACTCATAACAGTGTGGTTGGGAATCGACCCAACAACCCTGGACAGGGGAGGCCGAAGAGCTAACCAACCCAGCACTTTTAAGCGTTAAAGCAGCACTTTTTGCCTTGTGTTTGTTGAGGGTTTCCTATGAATTTCCAGTAAACCATGCAATGTCTGCAGTAATTCCCAAGAGGCTTATCGTGACCCAGTACTGGAAAATAGATGGATTAAACTAAAAACATATGAAAGCTACATCCAATCCATATGACTGATTTGAGGTTTGAGTATATTTAACGATTAAATATTCAAACAAAATGTTAGAATTTCACAGTAAGTCATATAAAACAACAGCTTGTGTCGGTTTACAAACGCATAGTGTATAATAACTCGTCTTAAACATTGTGTTATGTGGCAGCGCGTTCAGAAACCAAGGACCGGGAGCCGCAGAGGAGCTCATAATCTCTCCACTCGATGCGCCTGCGCGGTCCGGCCAGAGAGCGGCGACGGTAAGCGCTGGGTCTCGCCAGAGGGATCGAAACGCTTTCCGGTGTTGATTGTTGTCCTCTCTTGTGCCAAGTCCTTAATCATCTGCTTTTCATTTCGAGCACATGTTCACCGAAAATAAACTGTTAAGCTGCATCGTAAAACGGTTGTATAAACCGTGAGACAAATTTTATAAGCGCATCACACAGCCATCAGGGAGCCTTTTGAGAAAGAGTCACAGTGTCTTCCCAAAGACTCCAAAGCAGGATCTGGCAAAAGACGAGCACTAAACGTCGGAATAGCTTGAAAACAAATGTTCTGCAGTTGTCGTCTCAACCATGTGTGCCAATACAGCTGCAGCCGTTTGTGCTCATTTTTATTTTTTTTTATGTTAACGCTCATGTTGGTGGTTAATGGTAAGACAGTTAAAAACGTTTCAAATTAGGGGTAACTAGGCCTAAGTGAAGTAATTTCACACCCGGTGATTTAGAAATATTGCCACAAAGAGCATTCGAATTCATTTTTTGTTTTCATAATAACAACCTATTTGTGTTCTTTTGTCGCGATTATTATAGCCTTGTGGGACAATTAATCAGACATGCCTATTGCGTGAGTAGCCTGTGTATTTGCTGGCTACAGTGATAGCGACGTCACGGTCACTTCTTTGGATTCAGTCATCAGTATCTCTTGTACTGCTAGTAATTTCCACTTTCTATATAACAGCCTTATCAGCTTGTGGAATTTCACCTCATATCCCTGACATTGTGGATCTGATATTGTACAACTGCGCCACTGAAACTGATTACAGCTTTTTTTTTTTATGAAACTAATAAACAGATGGACGCCTGATAACTTCCTCACTTTCACATTGGTTATGTTGCATAAACCTTCATTTAATCTATTTACCGGACACTTATGTATGTATTTTATATAATGTAGCTTAGTATTTTAATATATTTCAACTACATGTTTTACTACAACAATTCAGGCTAACCTAATGCACGAAAATCATGAATAAAATGAAAATTTGAAATGTAATATCGTTTCTGCACACTGCCTACTGTATATAGTTATAGCTTATTCAATGTGGAATTTTACTGTGGTCACTGTCATGACTGTAGGGATAGTGGGAATGGGACATAATATTAATCCCCCCCATAACTGTCACTATTGGTCTCATGAGCAGCTGCTGCCTTGACAGTCATCTTTATGTTACTGTCTTTCAGCCCATATTGTCACAAACGCCATCAGCTGCCTCTCTTCTGGCCAGTATTTTCTTGACATCGCTCGCTCCAGCTCTGGATACTATAAAGCAGATATGATTTCAGCCCACAGTGTGATGTTCTGTCACGGGAAACGACAGAGGAAGCAGTCAAGACAGAACGGGGGCTCTTATATTTAATAATGTGAAATAACAGCTGTAGGTTAAATACAGAACCAGATGATAAAACCCATGCGTTAAAAACGCAGACAAGTGATGACATAAGTCAAGAAATATGGGTTATAGTTAGACAGCTATTACCTATTTTTTTTAAATGGCTTCAAACGTAAATGAACATTTGCTGCCATCTAGTGGTCAAACCAAAAGTTGTGGTAAATTACATTACTTAAAGTTTAACGATCCCAAAGGGAAATGCTTGAACTTCTTGAGTTAACTATTCTAAAATCAACTAATCCTGAGTTTAATTTAGCGTACCCAAATGCCATAAATGTTACACATATTACATATATATAAATTTCATCCTCCCTGGAGTCTAGGCATTGACACACGTAGGCAGTTTCAAAGAGTAGGATTTTCCACTCAACAAATCATGCTGCTGTTCTTCTGGAACACAATCGAACGTGTGAAAGGGAGCAGGAGCTATGGATGACGTGACTGAAGGGACTTTTTCAGTGTGCAGGGGAGGAAAACGTAGGTTATTTCAAAGTCCCATGGATGTGTGGTTGTGAGACAGTCTGGCACATTCCGCCGACCCATTTCTGACAGGTGCTTACTGTATCATAGCTGATGAGCACCCAGAAGGTGCAGATTCTGTACAGTAACTGCAGTGTTGGCAGGATTAATGAGGCATCAAGCCAGACTGTATATTTTTTGCATTTTATGTACCGATCATGTCCTTAGATTTACAGTACATACAGATTTTGGGAATATACAGTCGATTTAGGTTGGGAAACTGGTACAAGGATGACATTTGTAGGGTTTTAAGGGCACTAGGCCAAAATCTCACAGCTCACCTTGGAGCCAAAGTCAGCCTATACATGATGATGGGGATACAGCAACGACGATGATGATGACGATGATAATGATAATGATGATGACGATGATGATGTTGATGATGACGATGATGATGACGACGATAATAATGATGATGATGTTGATGATGATGTTGATGACGACGATGATGACGACGATGATGACGACGATGATGATGATGTTTGGCCCTCCAGAAGGACTCAGGAAGGTGTGCTGAGGTACATCTGCAGAGCTGGGGTAAAGATAAAAATGGTGCCCAGGATGGACACGGTGAGGAAGGCCCACAGAAAAATACGGTCCAAAACCTGGGCCACAAACTTCCAGTCCTGGACCACCTAGAAGACGGGAGACACGCAGGCAAGAAAGGGGGAAATGAGAGAATCAGTGCATGGCAGTCACAGCCTCTGACATGATGATTTGAGAAATTTGAGCTAAACTCCTAGCACACACATCCATTGTATGCTTGTAGAGACAGACATTCAGTGACAAGATGAGTGAAATGCTAAAACTAGGAGTGTAACGATTCTCCAGATCAAAGGTTTGGCTCAGACCTCATTTGTAGGGGTGACAACAAAAATCAAGGAAAACGTCTGGATTTTATTAATCACAACAATTTGGGAAACCGCCTCTGTGACAAACATGCAATTCACTAATAACTAGTTTAATTAGGTGTGGTTACTAATTGTCACCCTTTTGAAACATTACAATGAAGCAGCTGTACAGCTGTATCAGTATTTGAATTGACCAATTAAATGTTTGGCACTCTGAGACACTTTAGCAAAGTCAATAAAAAGACACATTTACAAAGGGCATGAGGTTTAGAACATCATTTCAGAAAAGCATCCTTCTAAAAAGCCCTTAGGGACTCCAGTCGAGCAGTGATGTGGTTTAATTTGTCTCTCACCTCACGGATGAAATGCTCTTTCTTGATGTGCCGGGAGATGTACCGCACAGAATCGGTGGCCCTCTCCAGCAAGGCCAGCCAGGCGATGTTCTCATCCTCCTTGCCAGCCTGAGGCCTGGCTTGCTTTTTGCACCGGGGCTTGAGCTCAGGGCTACGTAGCTGAATGTCCGGATAGCGGTAGCGGTCGGTGTGACCCCGCATGCACAGCAGCCTGGGCAACTTCTGCAAGAAGAGGCTCTTCACCCAGGGCGCCATGGGGTGGTAGGTGGCGGACGAGCGGTGATGAACGTTGATGACGAAGACAGTTACGATGATGGAGAAGGTGACGAAGATCATGATGAAGAGGAGGTACTCGCCGATGAGTGGAATGACCTTGGACGAGGAAGGGATGATGTCCTCGATGACCAGTAAGAAGACGGTGAGGGAAACTAGGACGGAGGTGGACAACGAGAGCTTCTCACCCTCATCGGAGGGAAGGTAGAAGACCAGCACGGTGAGGAATGACAGACCCAGGCACGGGATGATGAGGAACAGCGTGTAGAAGAGCGGGAGCCTCTTGAGGATGAAGGAGTAGGTGACGTAGGGGTAAGAGTACACCCCGTCCTGGCGGCTGCCTCTGGCCCCGGTAGCATTGAGAATCTCCCACTCCCCGTTGTCAAAAAAGTCCTTGCGGTCCACATGATCATCCACCAGGACCAGGTCCACCATGTGGCCGTCATAGGTCCACGAGCCGAACTTCATGGAGCAATTCTGCTGGTCGAAGGGAAAGAAGGTGACGTCCATAGTGCAGGAGGATTTGTAGCTGGCCGGCGGCGTCCAAGTAACGGTGCCGTTAAACTTGACGATCGCTTTCGTCATCAGAGAGCCCTCAAAGCGTCCATCAGCGCTAAGGACGGAAGAACAGAGGGTGTGAAAACAGGAGATACTCTGAGGAAATGGAGGAGAATTAACTGTTCACAAGTGGTCAGAGAACCTCCACTGAATAGATATATCTACACCCAACAAATAGCTTTGTTGCTAAGACACCAGATCGATACATCAACCTGTCAGTTCCGCACTTAAAGGCACACGGTGCTCACTTCTCATACAGCACGATGTCAGGCAGCCAGATGGTCTCTGAAGGAACTCGGATGGATGTGATCCCACCATAATCTTCTGGGTTCCACCGCATCTTATAATCGATCCACTCCTGGATAGACGAATGGCCAGAAAAGGAAGGATACCCTCATGTCACAAACAGACTGTCACTATGTTTGTTTGTTTGTTTGTTTGTTTGTTTGTTTGTTGGAATTTATATTCCACTCACACACAATAACACACTGGCTCATTGCCTGAACTACAACAGAATATGGGGGAATATTCTGGAAGATGTGGCATTTTTAGCCCAGAGTGCGAACTGTCCTGGGGACCATTTTAGACCAGTGAGCTTCACCATCAAACCGGCATCAAAGACGCCAGCCACATTACGTAATCTTTCAAGTAAGCGACATATTCACATTCGAGGTATAGGACGTAAATAATATGACAAGGAAGGTTAAAAATAAGTGACATCCTATAAGATTTTTTTAAAATATCATGCAAAATGTCATGTATGGATTTAAAAGAAGCAACATATGCTGACAGGTTTAAAAAAACAGCATATGTCAGGCATTAAAAGAAGGTGTATACACCACAAAACGATGTAAATGGCAACAGAGGGATTATAAAAGAAGGTTGACTAAAGAAGTGAGATAATGAGCAAACTGGCATAACTGAAGGGGTAGAGAGGATTCAGCGGCAGAGTGTAGGTGTGGAACTTCAGACCGACCTGCCACAGCCAGACGTTGGTGGTCATAAGCTGGTTTTTCTCATCCTGCGTAAACAGAAGAGTGAAACAGAGTCAGCGTGCTGTCTCTCGACTACATTAGCAGCCCGTTTGGTATGTTATCGCCGTAACCACGGAGATGCCACGCAGGCGGCCGCGCAAAAAGCAGCACTTGGGAAGAAATGGAAGACTGCTGGGTACTGAACCAGTGAGGCCAGAACACGCAGAAAAGTGCTATTATATGTAACAGGACACAAGACACCACATTTTATCAGTGGCTCAATGCTTCCGAAATATAATTCTCAACAGAAACGTTGTTTATTTCACTTTTAGGGTCAGATTTTACCGTGGACAGACACCGATGTAATAAATGACGCACAGTGTTTGATAAAAATAAAAACAAAACAGTTCACGTCCAATCTGTGTTTTATATCAGGAAAACACCTTAATCCTCACAACAAAACCCCCCCAAAAAAGATCTGCAAGCTGAGAATTTATAAGCAGCAAGGGAAAATGGTGTGAGTAAATTAGACATAAAAGAAGGTGCATCATATTGATTTGAGGCTTGATTCTCATATACAGTCATCAAAACATGCACAACAAAAGAAGATGAATGAAAATATTTGTGCTGAATTATCTGAAATCAACGGGAGAGAGACTCTCTTATGGAATCGGCTGTATTTTATAGTTATGACTCGGGGTGTATGAGACAGCTTGGTATTGGGCGAGCGACACGATTTAATGGCTTAAATATAATATTATATGTGGTTTAAACGAGACGGGAATAAATGTACGAGGTGACTGAAGTAATAAGAAAAAAGAGCAGAATTCTCCTATGACCAATACGCGTAATAAATGTGTTTAAAAAATGTGAATTTAAATAATAGTGTTTAGTCCCAGATGAAGTGTTTCTGGTGGCGAACTGGAAAACACATGTAAATAAATGGCTGAGTAAATATGGGCATCGCGAGCAGCGGGAGCCGCCAGCCGCCTCATCGCCATTCCGTCCCCGCGGCCGCTGAGTTATACCGCCTCGCCGGGCGGCATATTTCAGCACCGCGGACAGCTCCGGATGGATTTACGGCGGCCCTCCTCATCGCTTACCACGCAACGAACGGCCATACGCCGCAGCGGGATTGATTCCCCTCCAGGCAAAAAGTAAATAGCCAATTTCTTAAAATTACCCCCAGAGCTTTCCTTATCAGAAGGCCTGAACCGGCTGTCCTCCTGTACATCGCCCGTCATCGGCTCCCCCTGTATACTCGCGATCTTTTCTATTTACAGTATGTCTAATTAGCATTTTAATTTTTTATAATTGATTCCGTTTCCCTTCTTCCTTCAATGCACCATAAGAAAATTACATTTGGTGCAACAGCAATGTATTTCTGGGATAAGAGTTTCTGGAATATGTAGCCTATGATGAATGCAACATGCGACGGGTTGGATTTACATTTAATCTCAGTCTTCAGTCAGGTTTATAATCACGTAATAATGTTATGACATGAATGCCCCCCCATGCCCGCCTCCATGCCTGTGAGTCACGCGCTGGGTTGTAGGCCTATCATACTCTCGTGGGGTGTTTTTCTTCAGTAAGTCTACAGAACCAAGACGTAGTTCCCACAACCAACCAAAGGGGGCGGTAATGAGCTGTCGTCCGACTGTTGTACTGCATCGGTTCCATTCCTGAAAATCTTTGTAATGAGCAATATTACGAGTCTGTGTGCATCAAGGGCGTAACTTTGGCTGGAACATTGAGGGGGGGGGTTGAGGTCTCCACCCATTACGGAGGAAACATGATTATTGGGGGCGTTGTATTAGCTGGTTTTGATTTATTGGGGGGGGGCTACAACCCCCCCACCCCCCAGTAATTTACACCCATGGTGTACATTACCGCTTTAATGGTCGGATCACTCTGCCGAACCAGGGATTTGAACCAGCTACCTTCTGAGTCCCGACCCACAGAGCTGCCCCCAACAAAACATTATTTTAACACTTTTTTGATCAGTGCATAATTTTACACAAGTTCTTTTTCATAATTTTGATGTCTTTATAATTGTTTTTAAATGATGTAGAAAAAAGTAAAAAATAAACCTTTCTATGAGTAGGTATGTCCATACTTTTAACGGCTGCTGTACATAACGATCCATATCCATCAGTGTCTAATGCATCCCCTGAAAGGTGAGCCTCTACTTTAAGGGATATTAATTTATAAAGACAATGTAGCTTCCCATCGGCCTCCTGAAGGACAATCAGACTCCATCTGTTGCTCCATCTGGAAGAGGGAAGACTTCCTTACCACATCCACCAGCTGGGAGATCTTGAGGCCAAATCGGACGGTGATGGTGTCGTTGGCGTGCAGGACAGGCCGGACCCATTTCTGGTATCCAAGAAAGAGGTTCCTCAGGAGGGAATCCTCCATCTCGGCCAGGGATACGAAATCCTCCAGGGCTGCCCAGGGTGCGGGGGGAACAGAGTGATAGATATTAGCAATAATGTGCTAAAAACACTTACTAAAGTATGTGGCTAGACTGGGCATTGGCATATTGAATGTTTTATTGGGTCGATGAATATGTCCCCCTCCCCGCACTCTGCAAAATTTCCCATGGGGCTGTGGGGGACCCTAAAGACCGAGGACGATTTTTAATCCCATTCCAGCCCTGGCAAGATAAGCGACACAGAAAATCATATAGCAGCCATTATTTATCTCTGGAACTCGTGCACGGCGTGTTCCGTCTTATAGGTAATACATCCTAATTTAGCAAAAACATTCAGGGATTGTAGAACAGGCGTGGACTTGCTCAAACTGATGGTGGGGGGGGGGGGGCAAAGGCTCCTCATCTTCCCATCTCCATAATGAAGTGGATCCCAGCCAGCGAGAATGTCACATGCCACACATCTGCACCTGTCACTTCCTGTCGCACAGCCAAGATTTCCCTCCAACAGCAAAACCACAATAACCGCCAATCCAGTGATTCTGTACCAGGTTTAAGGACATTTATAATTCCCCTTCCCCTGTGCGAAACTTTATACAATGAAAATTACGGATGGAAATTGAATTGCGAATTCGTCTGCAAAATTCTTGAAACGATTCTTTGCTCCGGTGTCTCCGGTCCCTGTCTCTAGGTCCTTGAGGACCTAGAGACAGTCCACATTTTTGCTCCTTCCCAGCTCCCAGAAGAAATGCAGACTGTCTGGCAGGGAGCTTGCAGGGAACAAAAACATAGACCAGCTATGGGTCCCCGAAGACCGGATTGGGAAACACTGGTTTACACTATAAAGACTTTAGGTGCGAAGAGTGTGCTGTCCCACTGTATCCATTCAGGCCTGGCTGAATACAAATACACCCCTAACCGACGCCCAGTGCTGTCCCACTGTATCCATTCAGGCCTGGCTGAATACAAATACACCCCTAACCGACATCCAGTGCTGTCCCACTGTATCCATTCAGGCCTGGCTGAATACAAATACACCCCTAACCGACATCCAGTGCTGTCCCACTGTATCCATTCAGGCCTGGCTGAATACAAATACACCC